TATATGAGAAGTTGACTGCAAGCTGAGACTTTCATTATAGTCCCTAGGAATGTTGGAAGACTGAGAGCATTTAGGGTTTAAACTCTTTACTCTCTGTTGTCGAGATTTTTGGTTAGAATTTCAATGCGAACGCTTTAGAATAAAACGCCCATCGTTCCCTTGCAACCAATAAAACGAGTAGCAACTGAGGATCGCCCGTTGCCAGGTTGACATTCTTCCCTTTCTCAACCAAATTGATGATTATTCTCACCTTTCAGGAAAGAAGCAAGATCCAGTTTTTGTTCAACCAAATTGTCCTCCACAGCGAATTAGCCGAATGACAACTCTAAGTCCAGAGGAGCATGAACGACTTCAGGCTGAGAATGCGAAAAAAATGTAAGGAAATTCGAAAATCAGGAATTTACTCAATGAAAGGTACTGAAATTTAGAGAGGCAATTAAGCTGACAATGGCTGAGCCATCGACATCGAAAGGAAAACGAGCAGCAGTATTTTTGGATCCAGCAGCACCACCCAAAAAGAGGGGACGTCCTAAAGGGGTAAGGAATATTTCTTTTCCTGAAGTGCATTATGATTGCTCAATGAGCTCAATAATTCACACTCAGTCATTTAATTGAAAGAAATCAAGTATAAATAGTGATGTTTTGGACTTTTGCCTTTTGGGTGAGTTCTATGTAACAATTTTTCATTTCAGAGCATGAATAAATCAAGAAGTGGGGCACAGTCATCAGTTTCTCAAATTAGCATATATCCGGTTAGGTTCTCTTTTGAGTTTTGCCTGTTTCCTAGATCGCTTTTTTTCAAACAAAAATGTAATTTTCTTGACGAAACCAAATCTTCAATTTAGGTGTTTTTCTCTGTCATATGTACTCGCTTTGGTTTTCTTTCAACCTTTTTGACTCTAATTACAGCATGAGCACCTGGGATATTTCAATCCTGGCTTTTAATTTTATAAATATCTGCTGTAGTGGACAATATCTAAGCCTTAATGAACGAATCCACGTAAATGCATTACAAACCGGCAAGTTGTGTTGCATTAGCATTGAAAGGTGTGATCTTTTGATTACTCACAGAAATGTTTTGTGAAGGGGACTCGAAAAAAGCCATATTTCATTTGATCGCAGCTGTGTAGTGATTTTTCAAATTTTAACTGTTTTACAGATTTTGACAGCAATTATAGTTGAGACCAAATATTCGTGCTCGAATAAATTATTCGAACACTTCATAATTCACATTCGGTATTCGAAATTTGGAAGAGCATTTGGTCTTTCGGATGTCGAACACTCAAGAAAATGCTTTTATTCGATTATTCGACCAATCGAATATTTTTAGACATCGACATTCAAATATTCGAGCTCGAATGATTTTTGAACTGAGATTCGAATAATGTTCGATTGTTCGAATGTCAGCGAAATCGTCGTGTATGGCTCGAATGAATTCGAAATCATCGAACATGATTGAGATTGAGCAATTATGTTTAGTTGAAATATTCGAATAATTTGATCATCTGCCATTCGAATAGTCGATTATTAGAAAAAACGCACTTATTTTGTTCAAATATTGAACATTCGCCATTGCATTGCATTGAACACTGCCAAATTATTCATCGAATGTTCGAATTCAAATTTATTCTAGTGGCGACTGAGTAATAGTCACTCATTCGAGTACTTTTGTTACGGACGAATGTTCGATACTTCCTTCCAAGTTTCCCAATGTCTCAAATATAATAACAGATTCGGGAAAGCAGTGAAAAATTGAGTTGTTTCATTTATTTACTTGTTTTGTTCATCTCCTAAAATTTCCGACCTAACGGAAGAGCAAGGGAGGGCGTTCCCCTCTGCAGTGTCATGTTATTCTTATCATTCATATCATTCATGTCTTAGTTGACAGGAGATTCAGCTAGATGTCATTGACTTGTACTTTAAATCCCTCACTGATAGATGCTTATTCATTAGTCATTTCTCGTAGATGACAGTTCGGATCGTTTGGAGAAAAAAAGCAATAAGTAATTACGTTAAAGGTTAAGGTTATACGAGAAACTTCTAAACTCTCCTCCAGTAGAAAAAAGGTCTTCAAAATACAGGCAACGATATGTCAAGACAATGGATTAAGGCATCTTAATTGTGGTAATTGATTTTTTGGATCTAAGTTTGCAACCGTTTCCGATGTCTGCGAATTCTTTGACAATGATAAATTCCAAGAAAAGCTGAATGGTCTACTTGAGTTTCGTGTTTGTTATGTAGAAACAAGGAAGGATCGTGTGGTAAAAACGAGATTTTGGAGCAGGGATATCATGGGAGTTGGAACAGCTATATTTCGCCTTTTTTCCACTAGTTATTCTCTACAAGATCTTGGACTACGGTGGAAAGCTTCCGCAATGCCACTTCTCTACTCGCAGGAGTATTCTGGATTTTTTCAACAACCTTTACATGATTAGGGTAATGATACTGATTAACGCATAGTTAAGTTGGCAGCTTTCTCGGGTTGCGATGAGTGGATACATAGTTTAATAATAAATTTCATGTGATTTGCGGTTTACGCCAAGAGACTTATTAGTGAGATTCTTGCTAAACCTCCAAGAGCGCATAGGTTTCCAGCTCAACAAAAAAAAAATCAAAACGAGTTATTAATTGACTTGTGGATGTATACATAGTCTTGATACGCGCAGTAGTTCAAGATTTTGCGTTATAAAAGTAAGAGTTGAAGCCTTTTTATTCTGCATCAAGTAATCTCATCCGAGCTTCAAAATTCCAGCGTAATGGCCAAATGGGAGCGAAATCAGT